CTCACTCACTCACTCACTCGCTTTGGGCCTCGTCTGTGAGTGAATTGCGAGGAAGTCTCAAGTGGGAGCCCCCTCCTTATGGGGCCCGCGGATCATGTTATTAATCCGAGCGGGTCATCCAATTCTTGTAATTGTCGCCACTTTTGGGCTTTCGCGCTGCCAGAACGCCATTCCCAGGCCACATGTGTGAGTGAATTGCGAGGAAGTCTCAAGCGGGAGCCCCCTCCGTATGGGGCTTGCGGATCAGGTTAATAATCCGAGCGGATCATCCAATTCTTATAATTGTCGCCATTTTTGGGCTTTCGCGCTGCCAGAACGCCACTCCCAGGCCACATTTGTGAGTGAATTGCGAGGAAGTCTCAAGCGGGAGCCCCCTCCCTATGGGGCCCGCGGATCACGTTACAAATCCGAGCGGGTCATCCAGTTCCTATAACTGTCGCCGCTTTTTGGCTCTCGCGCTGCCAGGACGCCATTCCCAGGCCACATCTGTGAGTGAATTGCGAGGAAGTCTCAAGTGGGAGCCCCCTCCTTATGGGGCCCGCGGATCATGTTATTAATCCGAGCGGGTCATCCAATTCTTGTATTTGTCGCCACTTTTGGGCTTTCGCGCTGCCAGAACGCCACTCCCAGGCCACATTTGTGAGTGAATTGCGAGGAAATCTCAAGCGGGAGCCCCCTCCCTATGGGGCCCGCGCATCAGATTATCAATCCGAGCGGGTCATCTAATTCTTATATTTGTCGCCACTTTTGGGCTCTCGCGCTGCCAGAACGCCATCCCCAGGCCACATTTTGAATGCCCGGAACCAACTGTAGGCCACTTCGTGTTCTTCGTGTTCCCAGAACACCATTCCCGGGCCACATCTTGAATGCCCGGAGCCAACTGTAGGTCACTTCGTGTTTTTCGTGTTCCCAGAACACCACTCCCGGGCCACTTTCTGAATGTCCGGAGCCAAAACAAGAGGGTGAGGTCGGGGGCAACGTAGGGAGCGCGGGGAGGGCCCGCGCCAGAGCGAGAGAAAATATACGCAGAAGAGACAGCCAGGACGCTTCACCAACCACGAGGACGACGGTGAGGTTTTTTTCCAGACTCGCCCAGAGGATTCTCATGTGGGGTCCTTCAGTCGGAGTAATTAGCTTGGAAACTCAAGTGAACCGAACGGATTTCGAGTGACCCGCCCGGCTTGTCGAGTGTGGACGTTAAAGAATTCTCCACGTGCAAGCGCGTACCCGAGTGGACATTTGTGACACAAAAAGTCGGTCTCTTGGCTTGGAAACTGCAGTGAACCCTTGACGGCGGCCGATCGGAGTTCGGGTGACACGCCGAGCTTGTCGATTGCGGACTACAGAATTTTCCATGCGCGCGTACCCGAGTGGAGAGTTGTGTATTGTCCGCAACAGCAAATTCGCCTTGCTGCCTTACAAACTAAAGTGAACCCTGAACGGTGCCCGAGCGCGTTTCGTGTGACCCGCCCAATGTGTCTAGTGTGGAGAAGACCGAAATGTCCATACGCGCGCGTATCCGCGTGGAGAGTTTTGTAGCATCCACAATCGAACAGCATCGCCTTAGTGTCTTTGGAAGTAATGCGAACCCTTGACGGTGACCGAGCGGATTGCGGGTGACCCGCCCGAGTTGTTTAGTGTGGACAATACACAATTTTGCACGTGCGAGCGTGCGCGTGCACCCGCGCGGAATGTTGGTCATTGGACGCACTACAAAATCGGTTTGTTGGCTTGGAAAGTATGGTGAGTTTTGACAGTGACCGATCGGATTTCGAGCGACCCGTCCGACATGTCTAGCGTGGACAATATAGAACCTCGTGCCCTGTAGGCTTGGAGACTACAGTAATCTTTCAGTGATGACCGAGCGGATTGCGGGTGACCCGCCCGACTTGTCCAGCGGGGACCATGACGACACACCCGACACGGACGGCGTTGTCGCACTCATCGCCGCCGTCGTCGCCATCGTCGCGGGCGGCTTTTCATTGCTTTTCGCACCACACACACACACACCCGCATGGGGCATCCGCGGCGGCGCGCGTTATCGTCGTCTGGCCGTCCGTCCGTCCGCCCGCCCGTCCGTCCTCGTCGCCGCCGTCGCCGTCGCCGTCGCCTCCGTCGACCACGGCGGGTCCTCGCAGCCCCCCCCCCCTCGTGGGGCATCCGCAGCAGCGCGCGTTGCCGTCGTCCGTCCGCCCGCCCTCGTCGTCGTCTGTGTCTTCGTTGCTCGTCTTCGTCGTCCTCGTCGCCGTTTGTCCCCGTTCGTCGTCATTCGTGGTCGCCGTCGTCGGCTACGGCAGGCCCCCGCAGTTTGTCTCGGGGCGACCGGGGGGTAACACGGTTTCAATACGGCCCGCCTTTATCGTAGAGGCGGTGCCGGGGAATTGTTGGGATCCGCCTTCGCCCGCCGTTTCGTGTCGGAGCCCGTTATCTTTCCCCAGGGTGCGTCGGAAATAGATTGTGACGTTTCGTTATTGTGTTAGACTCGGCCCGTCGCGGACAGCCGTGCGCCCTGGGAATGCTCCTCCCGAATCGACCAGCCGTCCCATGTGTGATCAACACACCCCAGGCCCCGCTCGTGGGCGCCTCGTTGGCGCATAACTTACACCACATAGCTCACACACACACACACACACCTCCAGCTCACACCGCATAGCTTACACCACACAGTTTGCACTGCACCCCTTTCACCCCACATAGCTCACACCGCATAGCGTTCACCTCCAGCTCACACCACATAGTTCACACAACTTCAGCTCACACCGCATAGCTTACACAACTCCAGCTCACACCGATGGAGGGGTAGCAGGGAGGGCGGATGGGTGATCGACCCATTTGGCAGGCCGTGGCGCCCACAGGCATCGCATTGTGCGTGCTTGATGTGGTGGCGCTGATGGCAATTAGGCGCGCTGTGTTGGTCACAGGGGCGCTACTGGCGAGCTGCTGAATGCTTACGAGCATACTGTGGTGCTCGCAGTTGTTGTGGAACTGGCATGGTCCAACATACTGTCGTGTTTACGTGTGCGGCTGCTGTTCGTAGGCTCACAGACTCGCAGGTGGTTGAGGTGTTCACTGGTGTATTGCGGAGCTCGAAGGCCGTTGTGGTATTGGCAGGGTCCAGCGCACTGTAATGCTCCCAGGCACGTTGTGGTTATCGCAGGCCGTTGAGGTGTTTCACAATCATTGTGAGGTGATCGCGGTCTATTGTTGCTTGACCGTCTGGTGGTCAGACTCACGCTGTGGTGCTATCGTTAACGGCGTGGTGCTCGCAGGCTGCCGTCGTGCTCACAGGCGCAGTGCGGTGCACGCAGACCCTGCGGTCTCACCCGCCGCTCGCTCACAGCGCACATGTCTGGCAGGGTCTGTGGGCGGACCGGAGGCGGAGCGGAGCGAGAAAAGGGGGCGGCGCCGGGCGCGCCGCCCCTGGGGGGCCTCGGCGCCCTGCCGCGAGAAGTGCGCCGGAGCCTCCGAGCGCCAGTATATCCCAAAGAGCATGCGCGGGGCTTCTGAAGCTTAGCGCTGTCTGTAGGTGCTCATGTCTGGCAGCGCAGCGTGCGCACAGCCGCGGTGTTCGCGGGCCTCGGCTCTGCCGGAGCCGCTTGCGCGTGCCCGGCGAGCGTGCTCGTGCTTCATGGGCGGCGCCCCTGCACCTGCCACGCCCGCGCACCTCTCGTTGGCACCTGCCCCCCTCCAGAGCTCCACTGCGTGGGAGCAACAGAGCGTGTCTCCGGGGGAAGCTTGGACCACTTCTCAGAGGGCCGGGGGACGTCCGAACCGCCTGAGAAGGCCTTCTCCTTCTCACTTCCCCCCTCGGGTCGGACGAAAGGGGGGGATTGGGAAAGGGGGGGGTACGAAATTTGCTGCATGCAGCTGGCTTCGGCCCCACCGAGTGGCCCACTCCTCGATTAGATAGCCGCCTCCGGCGCCGGACGGCGCCGGGAAACTCAGCCACGTGAGCTGATTCTAAAACCCCCCCTTTTCGCCCAGCCCGATCCCCCTAGCTCGCCGCCGAGTACAGTCGGGGCCCTGAAGAAGGAACCCTTCTCGTTGGGGAGGGGCTCGGTGTTCCTTAATTGTTTCACAGCTTGCCTCAGGTTTTCCTCATGTTTTCGATCGGAAATCGAAGTTTAACTTTGGAAGAAAGGGGCCTCGTTCCTCATTTAGGGTTCCTTGGGTCAACGCCCCGACTGTAGCTCGCCGCCGAGCAGAAGCGCTCCTCGGGGATGCTCGGGGCAGGGAAGGGGGGCGCTGTGTGTGCGGTTCTGGAAGCAGCCTCGCCAGCAGGGCCGCCAAGGCCCAGGGGGGGTCCTTGCTCTCACACTCGTTCCCTTCGCCCCTGCCTTCCTCGGGAGGGGAGAAAACACACACACACACACAGACAAAATTCATCGTCCATACCCACGAAAAGATGGGAAAATATGGGAAGTGGGGGGGAGGCAACATTCCAGAAAATATGGGAAAATATTGGGAATCCTTTTCTTTGTGTGTATTCATTTGTGTGTCCCAGGGCCCCTTTCAAATCCCCCCCTCCTGATGTGGCCACGTTGCTCAAAGCTGGCTCCTCCCCGCGCCCAGTCCCGTCCTCCCTCCTCCTCCTCCGTCCTCTCCGTCCTGGGCTTCTCTCTCTCTCTCTCTCTCTCGTGGCGGCGCGCACAGGGGGGTATAGGGGCAGGGGGAATGGCTCCTTGGAAGGAGGCCTCTTCGAAGGCGCCGGCCCCACGTCTGCAGACCAGGCCCGCGCCTTCTGAGAGGCAGCTTCCTTCGAAGAAGCCGCTCCCTGCCCCATACCCTCCTGGGCGCGCCGCCAGCTCCCCGTCTCGTCCCGTGAGGTCCGACGTTGCAAAAAGATGCAGCATTGGAAAAATCACGCCCCGAGCCCCAGACCCCATGTATTTGCGTCCTTTTTCGAGCCGGATCGATGGATGTGTGAGGTCCCTGGGCCCGAGATCGAACGAAAGCGCCCGTTGTGAAAAAACTGCAACACCAGGATCTCAGGGTCCCCCCCCCTCCCCTCCCCCACCCCCTCGGCGCGGACATGGCATGCTCACCGCCGCGCGACGGGGGGCCCTCTGGCGCAGCCACCTGCGAGCCGCTGCCCCGCAGCAGCTGCGCGGGAGCCCCGGAGCAGCCCCGCAGCGCTGCCGCCGGGCCCGCGGCGCCGGCCACCGCCCAGGGCACCGGGGAGCCGCCTGGGCCTGCGGCCCCGCGCGGCCACGCGGACTGCGACGGCGCTGGCCGCGCGCCCCCGGCGGCGGCGGCGCGCTTGCGGGACGTGCTGGCGTTGGTGGCGCCGCCGCCCAACCCCAGTCGGACGGCCGCCGGTTGCCCAGTGGCCGCGCAGACCGAGGAGAGAGGAGAAGGTGTCAGATATGTGCACCGCGAGAGGCCCTTTCTGGCCGTTTTCATTGGGGGCCTCCTCGCGGATCTGCGTGCCCACCGCTGGACTCTCTTCCCAAGTCTGGTCAGGCCGCACCCCGGGAGAGACCCAGGGAGCAGCGGTGTCGGTACCGTTTCGGTTTCCCTGGAGGAGTGCCCAGTGGTCACGCAGACCGATGAGGGCATCGGCATGTCCTGCGAGCAGTGCGGCCAGCAGGAGGTCCTGCATGGTTGCGGCCACTGGCGGTGCGTCACGCTGACGTGCAGGCCCGCGTGGTTCCAGGCCCTGGCGGCCAGGAGCCAGGGCTCGAGCTAAACGGTGTCTTGGCGGATTCGTGGACCGTTTTCGGTCTGAATTCGTTTCGCAGCAAAGGCGGAACGAAGACAGAACGAGGGGAAACGAAAACATAAGAACCATTCCAAAACACGACGTAGGTCGAACCCTGCCAGGAACTGGAACGTGCCGAAGACGCGGAAGCGGATGTTCGACACGCAGTTGTACGATACCCTCGAGCGTTGCGAAGACTGCCGGCCCGAGGGGCGGTGCCTGCGGGGCGCTGTCGACGCCCCGCGGTATTGCAACTTTGTTTTCAAGAGGGGCACCTGCAGGTTCGGCTCGAGGTGTGCATTCTGCCACCTGCACGGCCGTGGTGAGCCCCACCACTCCGAGGCAGGAGCCGGAGAGTGCTCGGCCCCGAAGGCCGTGGCCGCGGACCCGCCCAGGGGCGAGGCTGTGGCACGCCTGGCCTGCCAGTGTGGCTCGCCTGCCGCCCGCTCGCCGCGCCGCTGGGCCAGCCTGCATACGCCACCGGGCGTGCACCAGCCAGCGCATTGCCGAGGCCCCCAAGATGGTGGCCGAAGGAAGGAGCAAAAACGGCATGAACACAAACTTTTGGCGCTCCGCGCGGATTTATTGTAGCCGCGCTGAGCCCCCCCCCCGGGCGGCGCCTCCGGCGCCGCCCCTGGCGCGTTCCGCGCTCCAGGGTAGGGGGTCCAGCGCAGATCCAAGACACCCGCGCGGAGTTTCAACAGTTTACGTAAGCCGGGCCTGTCCCCCTACAGGGGGATCTTCGACGGAAAAAAAAACAACCCAAAGAGTTAAAAAAACAATATTCCCAACATAGTCTGGGGACTATTTTGGGAGTATGTGTTGGCCTTTTCGGTGCATTTTCGGGGGTATGTTTTTATTTTTCGTCGCAAATCCCCCTGTAGGGGGACACGCCCGACATGAGAGTTTACGTTTTTGCCGCTGTCCCTCCGCCTTTAGGTGGGGCCCCTGCAGCGGTGGCCCCCCGGCGGGGCCCGCACGCGCCGCTCGGGCCCCCTCTGCCGACGCGGTGGGGCAGCCTGCGCCACCCCCCGGATGTCAGGAGAGGAAAAAATCGGAGGTTGATAGACCTCCTACCTTGACACGTCGATTAAGGAATTGGCCGTTTTCGATTCGCGAGGGGGCGACGCGGCCGTCATTTTTGCGGGTCCAGGTCCGTCGGTTTCGGTCCCGGGCCGTTTTCACTAAGGGGAGGTCTACTAAAGGGAGGTCTGTCCATCCATCCCCGAAAAAACCCACAGACACAATCCATCGTCGGTCCCCCAGAACACATATGGGATATGGGAGAACATGGGGCGTGGGGGGGAAGACGAACACCCAGAAAACAGATGGGAAACAGATGGGACACAATCCATCGTCGGTTCCCCAGAACATATATGGGAAAACATGGGGCGTGGGGGGGAAGACGAGCACCCAGAAAACAGATGGGAAACAGATGGGACGCGATCCATCGTCGATCCCCCAGAACATATATTGGAAAAGATGGGACTCGGGGGGGGGGGGGGGGAAGACGAGCACCCTGGAGACCTGTGAAAATATATCGGGACTCCGGGGCTTCGTTGCGTATTTCTATTGCGCGCCCCCGGGCCCCCTCGGGATGCTGGGGCCCTTGCGGCGGTGGCCCCCCGGCAGGGCCTGGACGTGCCGCTCACGCCCCCTCCGCCGACGCGGTGTGACAGCCTGCGCCTGCCGGCGTGCGCGGGCGGCTTCCTCGGAGAGGCCCCGCCGCCGCCCTCGCCGCCGCCAGACGAAGAAGGGAGGTCGGCACGGGCGCAAACAGGCGTGTCAGTCCAGGCCTCCCAGATATCTGCACGAGCGAAATGGGCACAGAAAGAGTGGGTACAATGCCCAACAGCAGTTCCTGTTCATTTTGAACAGGACTCGCTGTCCGCGCCGCCGCGGCCTGTGTCCATTTGAGACAGAAAGTCGCCTGCCCAACAGCGGCCGCTTTGGGTTTGGGACAACATTTGTTGTTGGGCATTGTACCCATTTTTTCCGTACCCATTTCGGGCGTCCAAACAGATGAGGTCGCAGTAGATGGGGTCGACGGATCGCGCCGCATCGCCGATGCGGAACGACATGGGGCCCGATCTGCTTCACATCGACGTTGCCGATGCATCGCCGACGTCGACGATGCATCGCCGGTGCATCACCAGTGCATCGCCGACGCATCGCCGACGTATCGGCGATGCGGCGCGATCCTCCGACCCCATCTATTCCGACCCCATCTAAGAGGCCTCTAGTTATGTTTGAGATCGAAGAAAAAACTGGATAAACATAAACTTGTTGGCGGTCCGCGCGGATTTCTTGGATCCGCGGCCCGCCCAGGCGGCGCCTCCAGCGCCGCCCCTGACGCGCTCCGCGCGCCAGGGGGGGGGATTGGGCGCAGATCCAAGAAGTCCGTGCGGAGCGCTAAAAGTTTATGTTTACGCCGTTTTGTCTTGTTCCACTTAGGTTTTGAGAGTCATCTTAAACATGAGGGAGGTTGTTGTCTTCCCCGGCTATTAGCGACTACTCGTGCTTACTGGTGGTCGTGCGTAGGCGCTATAATGGGCGCTACAACAGGCGCTGATAGGGACACTGATACTTGTAGACACTAATGTGCGCCAATAATCGGCGGCACCTCAACATACCAACACTATGTGTACGTCGCCACCCCCTGGGGCGACGCGCGCACCGAGAAATATGATAGTATATGCGTCGTGGCGGGCGCTTTCTGACCGCAGCGCTCGGGAAACGATATACCTCAAAATGGGTGTACTATATGTTCGGGTCGGACGCGCGCCTCCAAGGATGACATCTAGTATTAGTATTTACCCTGCGCGTCCCAAATAGGGCGGAACCTGCCTTGAAACCACTCTTACTCATAATGCACATCAAAGCACAAGTTCTCGGATGTCCGCGTGGGCCTCTCGGGTCGGCGCTGGCCCCCCCCCCTCGCCGTGGCGCGCGCCGCGCGCCAGGGGCCAGCGCCGGAGGCGCCGCCAAGGGGGGTCCAGCGCCGACTCCAGAGTCGACAAAACGTTGGAGTGAAGTCGGGGATGTCCCTCTACATGAGGAGTAATCCAAAATAGTTCAAAAACAGCCCGAGGACGATTTTGTTACTATTTTTGACTATGTTTGAACATTTTTGGGTTATTGTGTATTCTTTGTCCAGAATCTGCCTGTAGTAGGACTTGCCCGACCTAACGTTAGAGTGACCTTTCGCCGCAGTGGCCTTTGGTGCGGGCCCAGTGTGGTCCCCCGGTCGCTGAGCGCGAGGCGGTAGCAGCGGCTCGCGCGCCCGGGTTCGGCCCCCCTGCGCCCCCCCGCTAAGTCGCGCACCAGAGGTCCCTCTTACTTTGGGTCACTCTCACGTGTCGCCGACATATCCAGGCCCCCTAGATGGGTCGGAGCAGATGGGGTCGGAGGATCGCGCTGCATCGCAGCTGCATCGACGATGCGGCTCGATGTGGAACCCGTGCTTTCTCACGCCGGTGCATCGGCCGATGCGGCGCGATCCTTCGACCCCACCTGCGCCGACCCCCTCCGGGAGACCCCGAGCAGAAGCCCGCGCGGGCCCCCTTTGAGCTCACGCCCGAGCCGGCCGTCCTTCTGGCCTCAGACGGCCCCTGGCCCGAGCGGGCGGCCCCGGGCCGCGCGCCCCTCGGCGCCCCCGCCCGCCGGGGGGGGCCCGCGCCGCCGAGCCCGCGGGCCGCGGCGCGCGGCCCGGCCCCGTGGGCGGCGACGCACGGCACGCTGAGCGTGTGAGCCCTGCGCGCGCCCGGCGCTCTCGAGAGCCGCCCGACGGCCCAGGGCGGCCCCCTGGGGCCCTTGGCATCGCTCGGACGTGTGCATTCTTCCTTCGGCGAGGACCATCGAGGAGCAGCCTTGATGATGTGGCGAACACGCCACGCACGAAACCGAAGAAAGCACAGGGAAATGGACGTCCGAGCGATGGCCGGGCGGGGCGGCCCCCTGTCGGGACGGACGAAAGGGGGGGACTGGGAAAGGGGGGGGGGTACGAAATCTGCTCCATGCAGCTGGTTTCGGCCCCGCCGAGGGGCCCACTCCTCGATGCATAGCCGCCTCCGGCGCCGGGAGGCGCCGGGAAAACCAGCCACGTGAGCTGATTCTCAACCGCCCCCTCTTTCGCCCAGCCCGACCCCCACCTATCTCACCACCCACCAAACCACCCCAACCCAACCCGAAGGCTGAGATTTATCCTCGATTTCTAGTGGGGGGGGGGTCCGGGAACATCGAAAAAACACATATGGAGCCCATACCCCCCCCAACCCGAAATTCGGGTCTTCGGGTTGGGTTGGGGTGGTCTGGTAGGTAGTCACTATCCTCCCCTTTCGCCCGACCCGACCCTGGAGCCGCCCGGGCCACGCCGCGCGGATCGGCAGCTGCCGTTCCCGAGCTTGCCGGGGTGGACTCCCGCGCGGGGCCCAGCGGCACGCCCGCCCCCCTCCCCTTGCCCCGAGAGGACGAGGGGGAGGCGGAGGAGGAGGGAGGAGAGGAAGAGTCGGAGGAGGAGGGGCAGCACGACCTCCCGTCCACCCCACCTCCCATCCATTGGCCCTGGCCCCATCGTGGCCAGGTGTTTGGATTCGACCGCAACGCAACGTGTGTCATGAGGAGGAGGAGGAGGGGGAGGAAAAGGAAAAGGAAGAGGAGGAGGAGGATTGCAGTGTAGTGCTGATGCCCTTAAGGTTCGGCACAACCCTTTGAATCGGATGGGGCACTTCGGCTCTCCCACCCTTGATATTGGAGCTCGATGTGAAGGTAGGGTTGCATACCTTCTGGTCCCAGAGAGCTTTGGGCAAGGACCGATGTTGGCACCTGGTACTGGTGGGTGATACGTATGCGTGTAGCGCATATCCTGTCGCAGCCACATCTGCCTCGTAGCACCGTGACCGTAGGGTCTACGCATGTGGGGCAGACGTCCAGCATGAGAGGACGACGAATGATGGACCCAAGCATAATATGAGTCAGCAGTGTGTGTAAATGTGAGCCCCATGGTGTGTCAACATTGGTGCCGACTTAATGCACCAAACCGAATTCAAGCACCAATGTGCGTTCCCAGGGGGGGGGCACGGTTTGTCCGCCCCACTGGGGGTGCAAACATAGTTCGCATTTCAAGTGACCAGATATCGTTTCCCCCACGTCTGTTTTCGCGGGGTGCCGACGGAGTGTGTGCGGAAGATGGCGGAGACGGAGGTGGTCGCCTTCCGAGGGTGACACTGGCCGATCGGTCGTTGAGGACCCTGTGGCAGCCTAAACGGTCGCCTCCTGTGATCCTTGGATGTGGGCCTACGATGGTGGACGTATCCAGTATGACCCCGTCCGAGTCCAGGGCAGCCCCGCTCCCGGGGTCTAACGGCCAGGCGGCCAAGACGAGGATCAGAACGGAGGCGGACGCGGTGACTCAGGAATGCAGTAGACAGCAGCGGTCAAAAAGGCAAATGGGGGTGAACGGGGGAGCCAGCAGAAGAGAGGGGGAAGGAAGGGGCGAGCGGTGCAAGAGAGGAGGGGCAGGGGCGGGGACGGAGGGGAGAAGGGAAACCCATGGGGGGAAGGGGGAGTGGGAGGAGCAGGAGGACGGGGGGTGGAGGGCACGCCAGAATTGAGGTAAACAAATTGTTGCATTCTCCATTGGGCTCCTGGGAGATCGAAGGAACCGATCGCAACGTAAGTGGGGTAGATGTGCAGGACCGCCAGCATTGCCGCCGGGCCGTGCCCAGGAGAACATACTACATCCGACGAAACGAATGAAAACAATAGTTTGGCATTACCGCCAGTCTGTGTCAGTAAGCGCTTGTCTCGAAGGTGGAGTAAGCTTGCAGGACCGCCTGCATTGCCGCCAGGCTATGTCACGGAGGGTAAAACCTCCGACTGATCGAATGAAAACAACAAGGTGTGTGCAATAGACGCATGCCTCGAGAGTGGGGTAGCTGTCGTGTTGGCCGTCGTTGCGCGCTTGTTGGTGCGAGTCGCTGTCGTGGCTTTCGTGGTGGTCGTCGATGTGTGCGTGCTCGTGAGGGTCGCTGTCGTGGCTGTCGGGGGGGGCCTCCATGGTGTGCTTGCTTGACGTGGATGCCGCGGCGACAGTCGTGGCTGTTGTAGCGGCCGTCGTGATGCGCTTGCTCGAGGCATCTGCTGTTTTGGTTGTCGTGGTTGCTGTCGTGGTGTCCCTGCTCGTCAGAGGCGTTGTCGTGGATGTCGTGGGATCCGTGGTGGTGCGCGTGACGAGTCGTTGTGGTTATTCTCGTGGCTGTCGTGGTGCCCGACGTGGTGTGTTTGCACGTATTGGGCGCCGCGGTTATTGTAATGGCTATCATGGTGGCCGTCGATGTGCGCTTGCTTCTCCTCCTCTTTCTCCTCGTCCTCCGCCTCCTCCTCCTCCTCCTCTTTCTCATCCTCCTCCTCCTCCTCCCGCTTCTCCCCCTTTCAGGGAGGCTGCATCTGCGCGCCCGCAGGCGAGGAGGTTCGCAGGCGCAGGGCTCCAGCACAGCGCGCACACCAAGCTAATAATCCCACTACGTGGGATCACAGCTTCGGCAGCATGCGGCAGCATTCTTAGTTTGTTCCATCCAGTGCGTTGCATCGTGGGTTGCTCGGCAGGTTTCGCCCTCGTTAGCAACCGACAACAACAGGCAGCGAGTTGGGGTTTCCCAAAGTGAGAGGTGCGCCCCCTTGACAATGCCTAGTTGGCTCAGGGACTGTCCACAGGCGGTCCGCCCCTCCTCCTCCACCTCTTTTTCTCATTAGTCTCTTCGCTCATTGCGCTGGCCCATATTGACTCGCCGCTGTCGTTTGTCGGGGTGTTGTTGTCAATGCGGTGCGGTTGGGCGGCTGCCATTTTTCGGAGGTGGTGGATGGCGGGCCAGAGGCCTCACGGATGTTGGTTGGGCTCTCGTGGTTGGCCTCTCAGGAGTTTTTGGGGGTCAGTTTAGAGGCCTCATCGGGGGCCGTGTTGGGGTTTCTTGGGGGCCTCTTGGGGCTTTTTGGGGTGCCTCTTGGGGGCCCCTTGGAGCCTCTTGGGGGCCTCTTGGGGCTTCTTGGGGCTGAAGGCTGGACTTTTCGGTTCCTGGTCTCCTTCTTGGGCTCCTCTTGGGGCCATTTTGGGGCTTTCTTGGGCGCCTCTTGGGCTGTCTTGGGTCTTGGGGCCATAGTGGGCCGTCTTGGGGCCCTCTGGGAGGCTTCGTGGGCCGTCTTGGGGCGATCTTGGAAGCCTCTTGGACCGTCTTGGAGCGCCAGAGAGCCAAAAAGGCGAGAACGCCAAAGACCGTCAGAAACTCAAGGGAAATCACAAATATCTGCCTCAGTGGGCCCCTTGGGGCGTCTTGAAGGCACTTTGGGGTGTCTGGAGGCAATTATTGGCGTCTTGGATCGCTCTTGGACCGTCTCGGATTTTGTTGAGCTCTCTTGGAGGCCACTTGAAGCGGTCCTGGGCGCCTGCTGGGACCTGCCCAGGACCTGCCCGGGATTTTGCCGGGGCCTTGCCGCGATTTGCGGGGGTATTTTTCGTTTGGGGACCCCCAGGGGCGGCCCCGCACGCGCGCGAACTAGAAATATTGTTAACCAGCTACCGGGGAGCTTAGCACGCCTTCGGCCCGTTGGACCGGCGAATTCCTCCTCCTCCTCCTGTTCCTCCTCCTCCTCCTCCTCCTCCTCCTTCTCCTCCTATTCCTCCTCCTCCTATTCCTCCTCCTCCTCCTCCTCCTCCTCCTATTCCTCCCCCGCCCCCCCCCCCCCGCAACGACTTCTCTTATGAACGGAGGGGCGGCGGGGGGGGGAAAGGCAAGGAAAGCGGGGGGGGAGGTGGGGAGGGGAAGGCAGGAGGGGCGGGAGCAACCGCGCCCCCCCCCCGCCGCAAGAAGCGGGGGGGGGCGCGTCGCGGACGGAGGGCTGGGCAGCACCGACCTGCAGACAGGGCGGGGGAGAGGTCGATGCGGCAAATCCGCGCCGTGCTTTGGTCGGACGACTCTCTCCGTGGCATCGCTCGGACGTGTGTGTGTGTGTGTGTGTGTGTGCGTGTGTGTGCGTGTGTGTGCGTGTGTGTGCGTGTGTGTATGTGTGTGTGTGTGCGTGTGTGTGTGTGTGTGTTCTCGGCGAGGGCCATCGAGGAGCAGATGGGATCGTCTTGCGAACAAGCATGCACGCACGAAATCGATACGTGCACGCACGGAATCGAGAAATGTACGGATCAGAGACGTCCGAAGGATGGCGAGTCCGACGACCCTCTCTAGGCGGACGAAGAGGCAGGATAGGGAAAGGGGGGGTACGAAATTTGCTGCATGGTTTCGACCTCGCCGCCGGGCCCATTTCCACGATCCATAATTAGGCGCCTCCTAGCGCCAGGAAAGCCAGCTACGTGAGCTGATTATCAATTCTGCCCCTTGCTATATTGCCCTTTTCGTCCACCTTCCCCCGAATCTCTTGTGCCAATCATGCTCGTATTGCTCGTTCAGCGCATTATTGTGCATCATTGAATCATTTTCGCAACAAGTGCACATATAGTGGAAGACATCGCTGCTAAAGCCGCATGGTTGTGACATGTTGCGAGTATGTGATCACCAGTGTCAATCATGTGGCCATACTCCTTCATCTAACTGTTCGCGAACGTGACAACCGCCTCGTCAAGCAGAGTCGGTTTCGGTACGAAACCCGTGTTGAATTGTTGTGTTTGCGCGTTGTGTTGAAATATGTATTCTTCTGTTCCAAGAAACGTCTTGCGTCTGACAAGCGAACGCGACGAAGGACCAGCAAACGATCATGCTTCCAGCCGCTCTAGAATCGCTGTACAACAGTCTTGAGCAAGAAAACAAGGAGCTCGCCTCTGTACGACTGTTTGATTGCAGACGAGTTAACACTGAAAGCAAACACGGCATATCCCAAGGCGCATCATTACTTGGGTCGTTTGTGTCGCCCAGTTCTTGTTCATGTTCCTGTTGTTCCGTCGTGTCTTCGTGGCGGTTCTCGTTTGAATATGTCCCAGTTCCTTCAACTGCAACCTGAACGCCCGCTTATTTAGCACTACCTGCTGGGAGACTATACTTGTACGCATGTACAAAAGCTTTGGTGGCAACCGTTCTATACGAATCCTCTTACCCCGCGCCTCCTCCCTCCTCCTCCGTTCCGATTTCTTCGCTCGGGGTCGTCTTTAAAATTCCATAATCTATTCCTGGCTTGGCGGGATCAAGCTCGTCAAAATAGTTAATCTGGCTATCCGGCTTTTTCGGGCATACATGCGACGGATTCGCTCTCTCTTGCTGTGCTGGTCGTTTCCTTCCAGGTCACTCAAACCCTGCATCGAAATGGAGTCAAATGCGGCACATGAGAAGACCAACCCTCCAATCAAGCGAGAAATGCGAGAGAGGCACGGTATCGAACATGCCTCAAGAATGTCACCCGTCGTCGGATTCATCTGCCCTTCTCCTCCCCTGGCCAAGGCAGGGGCTGACTGATTGCGAGGGGCGCCGCTGAGTGCAAGCGTGCAGGCTTGGATTAAGTCGGGCCTGTCCCTCTACAGGGGGAATATTCAAAAATAGCCCCAAAATAGTCTGGGGACGATTTTTTGACAATGTTTGGGTGTTTTTTTGGGGGGGGCACTTTGGGGGTATTTTTTTGTTTTTCGTCCGAAATCCGCCTGTAGTGGGACACGCCCGACCTAAGGCTTGGCGCAGGCCAGGGCTCCTCGAGAGCTGCAAACGGCAGCCGGAGGGGGAGGAGGGGGAGGGGGCCGGGGCTCAGGAGACGGGGGTCAGAGCCAACGGGGGTCGGCCAGAGTGCCGGATCTTGCAGGATCCTGCCGGGCCAGGTTTTTCCTTGACCCAGGCTTGGGTGCAGGATCTTGCAGGATTTTTCAGGGGCCACATGCGAACCCTACCCCTACCCCCACGATTTCTGAGGCGAAGTGAACCCCACCCTCCCCCTCAGAAATCGTGGGGGGTAGGGGTAGGGCTCGCATGTGGCCCCCTAATCTTGTAGGATCTTGCAAGATCCTGCAAGGCCTGACTGCCCGGGTCTGGATTGACCCAGGTCAGGAGATGCCCGAGGGGGAGGAGGGGGGAGGCGGCAAGAGGCGGCGGAGGAGGGGAGCAGCCGATGCGGCTCGGCGGCGCGCCGAGGCGGTGCCCAGAGCAACGTCCACCAACGAGTTGCCTTCGACCTCGCTCGGCGGGGCGACCCATCCATAGAAACGCCTCTGTCGCCAGGCGCGAATTTAAGGCGCGTGGGTCAGCGACGGGGCCCGTTTCCGCACGGTCCATGCTGGTTTGCGCCCCATTTGCAAGGGTTGGCCAGTACACGTGGCCCTTTCCCTCTTCGTATGCGCTTGGAGCGCGAACTCGCGCAGGTATGATTCAGCATACGTGAGTACATAGGTCCCCATGTTGCATCGTGTTCTTTGCCTGAAGTCGTGGAGCGACGAGGCAGCGAGGGGACTTGGCGGAGGGGCCATAGCGAGGAGGGGCGAAACTGAGAATCTTGTCAACAGGGTGCGAGCTCATGATTTGTAAGCTATGTCTCTGGCTGACAACCGAGTGCATCGCAGCCGTACGGTTGCGTTGTTCATTTGCAGTACAGCTCAAGGTATGTTCAGACCATGCTTCCCGATTTTCTTGTCCATTCAAGAAATCCTCCGCATCCTCCATCCGTGCAAATCCCCGCAGGGTCTTTTTAGGATCCTGTCTCTGGGACGCTCGCCCGACTCTCGCCGCACTTGGCCTTCTGTGACGTGCGACGGGCTTCCTCCCGTCACATGCCAGCGCGACAGAAGATCTGCTCGGAGAAGTCGTTGACATCCGGTCGAGGGACACTCCTGTGCCGGGCCTCCTGACTTCCGGTCGCTGATGTTTGGTCGTTGATTCGTGCGCACATTCTTGACCCCTTCCTCTGTCTCCGTGGCTTCCTCGTCTGCGGCCCGTGGCATCGTTGCCTGCGGCCTTTTTGCTTCGAGTGCGGCGAACGCGCTTCGGGGCTCAAACGTTCTTGGGCCTGCTAGACCTGTTATAATAATCCCTCTGCCTGGGGCCTGGTGCTGAGCATGCACGACTTGTTGCGTCGAGCGAGTTTCGTAGATCTCCTAGTCGGGCGACGAGTGCGAGCGCCGAGTTGAAGCTCGTCTTCCTCCCCTCCTTGCTCCCCCTCGCTCCTGGAAGTCCACCCCGGCTCTCGTTTTCCCTTCTTCTGCTCCGTCCTCCCTTCTGCTCTTCTCTTGCCTCCCCTTCCTCCGTCCTCCCTTCTCCTTCGGGGGTGGACAGACCTCCCACCCTGACACGTCGATTAAGGAATTGTCCGTTTTTGGTTCGCGAGAGGGCGTCGCGGCCGTCATTCTTGCGGGTCCAGGTCCGCCGGTTTCGGTCCCAAGCCGTTTTCACTGAGGGGAGGTCTCCTAGAGGGAGGTTTGTCCACCGCCGACTCCTCTTCCTCCCCCTTCCTCCGTCCTCCCCCTTCCTCCGTCCTTACTCTTCTCCGTCCTCCCCCTTCCTCCGTCCTCCCTTCCCCTCTTCCTATATGGGAGAAAGGGGCCCCGTTCCTTATTTAGGGTTCCTTGGGTCAACGCCCCGACTGTACTCTTCTCTTGCCTCCCCTTCCTCCGTCCTCCCTTCTCCTCTTCCTCTCCGTTCCTTCTCTCCCTGGCTTCTCACCCTCGTCCCCTCCCCGGCCGTGCCCGGGAAGCTGCCTGCTGCTGGCCGACCTCCTTCTGTGAGGAGTCGGAGGAACGAGAGGCGAGGAGGAGAGGAGGAGGAGGAAGAGGAGGAGGAGGAGGAGGAGGAGGAGGAGGAGGAGGAGGACGAGGAAGATGCGGGAGGGGAGGAGGAACAGGCGGGCGAGGAGGAGGAGGAGGAGGAGGAGGAGCATCGGAGGAGGAGTAGCAGGAGGAACAGTGAGGAGGAGGAGGAGGAGGAGGAGGAGGAGGAGGATCAGGAGGAGGAGGAGGAGGAGGAGGACCAGTGTCAACCCAAGAGTCATCAACGATGTTGGAACAAACCCTCCATCCAAGCTCCCTCTTCATAGTCCCTTACAACGGTTCAGTTCCATTGAGGGAACTGCGTCTTTGGACGACAACCGTTTGAAGACCCTGAAGCATGCCAAAACGTTGTTCTCGGGATTCCGACTCCACGGATCAATTTGACTGTTGCGTCTTGACAATCCTGAATCGTGCCAGAAAACCATTCCCGGGACTTCAACACAGCGAATTTACATAATTGTTGCACCCACGTAATCCTGAATCTTTTCAAAACGCCGTTTCTGGCAGTTGATGATGATAGAAACCCGTGAAACTCTTGCAAATGTTGCAAACGAATGTGCACGGCGCGATCAGCAAATGTTTGCAAACTATTTAAAACGAATGTGCGCCGCGCTAAGGCGAAAGCCACATTTAGAAAACCACCCGCCCTCAATCCGTGAAGCTCTTGCACTTGTTTAGATCGAATGCACGCCGCGCTAAGGCGAGAACCACATGTTGAAAACCAGTCACCCTCTATCTGTGAAACTCTGCAAATTTCTAAAACGAATTTGCGCAGCGCTAAGGCGAGAGCCCCATGTTGAAAACGACCCGCCCTCATTCCGCGCAACTCTTGCAATGTGTTTAAACGAATGTGCGCCGCGCTAGGGCGAGAACCACATTTTGAAAGCCACCCGCCTTCAATCTGTGAATCTTCTCCACATTGTTAAAACGAATGTGCGCCGCGCTAAGGCGAGAGCCACGTTTTGAAAACGACCCACCCTCCATCTGTGAAACTGTTGCCAGATTTTGAGCTTCAGAGCCATACATGGTGAGGGAGTCTCAGGCGAAACGCCCGGCCCGCACTAAAATTGGCCTCGGGGTGCGAGAGGGAGAAGTGATTCATAAGGAGAAGGAATCGAGGAGAAGGAGGAGGACGAAGACCAGGACGGGGAGGAGGAGGAGGGGGAGGGGGACAAGGAGGAGGGGCAGGAGGAGGATGGGAAGAAGGAGGGGCAGGCGGAGAAGGAGGGGGAGGAGGAGAGGAGGAGGAGGAGGAGGAGGAGGAGGAGGAGGAGGAGGAGGAGGAGGAGGAGGAGGAGGAGGAGCACATATGCATTACCAGTGGTGGTGTGTTTTTCAATCCCAGGACTCTGGAGGGTCGGGGACGACGTCGGGGTGGTGTGTTGTACATTTGTTTCATCCGCTTCCCGGTGGAACGACGAAACATGTATACCCTACGGTCTTGTAGGCAGCAGGATCCGCTTCCCTGTGCACATGTCAGTACAGGGCTGGGAAAAGCTTCTCCTCCTCCTCCTCCTCTCCCTCCTCCTCCTCCGCCTCTTCCACTTCCACAACAGCAGCAGCATGGGATCCCAGAATCGGGCACGCCGAAACCGAAAAGCTGAGCGGGTTGCGACTCTGGCTGTGTTTCAGGCCAGGTCGTGAACCCAAGGGGGAAGCTTCCCTCCCAGAGGGCACTGGTGACCCTCCTCCCCCCAGGTTCCAGCTCCGTCGAGCCGACACTCCTTGCCGAGCTCAACGAATTTGCCTCCCGTACCCGTGGCCCCACACAGCTGGCAGCATAGCCCTCCCTGCAAAAGTCCAACCTCTGCGAGGGGCCGATTCCCGTGAGGGCCCATGAGGACAGGGAGGCCAGGCATTCGTTGAGCTCCGCTGGCGACACCTGAGGCGCTCGATGCCTTTTTGGTGTCGTGCCCAACCCGTTGGGCCGAGGTCGCCTCAGCCTCCTCCACCTTGACAGCACGTCCCCTGCCCCTAAGCTTCGCCCCTGCCGCTCGAGCAGCACGCGAACTGGGGCCATACATTCTAGGGGCGCGGGGCGCAATATCTATGGGGCCATTGCTGCAAGCTGCGTCTGAGCCTTCCAGGTCAACTCATCCAGACGCGCACTTTCATGGACGGCATGGCACGGCAACTGACACCCTTGGACACCACGTTCGGCCGCCTGGTCCGCAGCTCCATGAGCCAACCACACCTGCACAGGCGGGACGTCGACACGCTCTAGGGCAAGGCGCGTGTGTCTCATAAACGTGCGCATAACTATTAGGCAGTCCTGGGCGTTCCCAGAACCTACTCCAAGCAAGCACGTTAACCCTATTGACAAGATTGGGGCTTTTGTGAAACCCAGAGATCGTGACAGCCGAATTCACTGCCAGCACGATGCTTCCAGCTGTGCTCCTCAGGGCCTGGATGATGGCCTCGAGCTCAGCAAGGGGGGACCGACGGTTTAAGTCCAGGTAGTGGCCCACACCCCCACCCCAGTTACCGATCCCCCCCGAACCATTCCGAATTATTGAAAAACATCCACGCCTGCTCAGCCAAACCTTCGACTAGTACGGCCCACCCGACCCATCCGTCCCAACGACGACGTCCCCCATCTCCAGAAACATCGGTCATTGGCTGAGGCTGGGGGGGGGGAAACACCAGTGGGTATGAGGTATCAACTAAAGTGGGCACAGACGTCCATCCCAGAGGGGGGAGCCCCCGAAGCCAGAAACGCGGAGCCTCTTGCCACCCGGCTTGGGCCTGTGGCACGAGTTCTAAGCAGTTTCCTTCAATCCGAACACCACAACGACAGCACCAAGGCTGATGAAGCGGTGTTTTCGACACTGCTCCACACCGTGGGCAATTGGGCGAGGCATTAGACATCGGACCCGCATCTGCTGGCTCGGGCCTGTTGCTCCAGCAGGTCGTCCAGACCGAAGGAGTCCTCCTCGTCCAATCGGATCAGGGGTCGAATCGCCCCCCTGCGTTTTGAAGGATTTTGTTTTGTGGGAGGCGGAGTGCATCGTTTGCTTGCTGTTGGCATCGGCGTGGTATACCCGCTATGCTTTTCTTCGGCGCTGCCTCCCACTCCTCTCTCTCTCTCTTTCTGCCGCCGTCCGCCTAAACTTCAGCCGAAGCAGAGCCTACGCCTCAGCCTAGCCCAGCTTAAGCTCCAGCCGATGTTTAGCCGAAGTCTAGCCTAAGCCTCAGATGCAGCCTCTGTCTAGAACAGGCTCTGCTTCTTCAGCCTGGCCTGAGCCTAAGCTTCAGCCTCGGCCTAGCCCAAGCTTTAGCCTAAGCGTTGCCTAAGCCTGGCCCAAACCCAAGCCTACGCCTAAACTCCAGCCCCCGCCTGGCCTACGCCTCAGCCTAAGCCAGGCAAGCACTACCAGTGTAGTGCTAAAGTATCATGTATGCCAGATTACTGCTGCAGTGTTGCTTTACGACTCGTACATCGTCTGCCACTACTGCTGCATCGTCACCACTACAGCACCACATTATGATAATAACACGACAGTTTTTGTGTCGTGCTGCGGCGTTGGAGCGTTCCTGTTAAAGTATTGTGGGCAATCGTTTGGTACAACTTTTACGAACAGTGCACTAGAGCACTGCTTCTACAGTGCCACTACTACTCTACTACACCACCTGTTCCACAGCAGTACGAAAGTATTCCTACAGCGCTATGGCTGACGCACTCCAGTTCGATGCATTAGTACTATATACGAGTACGACGGCCGTGGGTCATGTCCACTGCAGCACTACAGTGCGAGTACTAAACCCAGTGCTCGGGTATGATATGTACTGCCCGGCCTGCGTACTACCTACTACGACTCCTATTGCTACGACTACTACTATTAATACGACGGCTAATACGACTACTACTGCTACTACTACGACTACTACTACTACTACTACTACTACTACTACTACTACTACTACTATGTCAACACCTACTTCTACTTTTACTTCTACTACTACGACGACGGCGATGACGACTACTACTACTACTACCACTACTATTACGACGGCTACTACTACTACTTCTACTTCTACTACTACTACTACTACTACTACTACTACTACTACTGCTACTACTACGGCGACTACTACTACTACCATTATTATTACTACTACGACTACTACTACTACTACTACTACTACTGCTACTACTACTACTACTACTACTACTACGACTACTACGACAATCACCACTACTACTATTACTACTGCTGCAGCAGTACAGTACCATACTACTACAACAACGCGGGGTGCGGCATTGGACTATTCCTATTACAGTACTAGTACATTCGCTGCAGGCAACAGCCGATGATTATTATAGGGAGCGCTGTGCTAGAGTATTGCTATACAGCGCCGCTACTACAATAGCAGTACTTGTCCACAGTGGTGCAGCACTATTCCTACAGCACTACCGCTCTAGTACACGTTTCGGCGGCAATACTATTGTATTCGAGTTTTACAGTAGTGGGGTACCTCTACTACAACACTACAGTGCGACTACTACAGCAAACGC